TTCTGCTGCACGAGTTTTACATGAGGCAGCTCAGGGGGCTACAGGAACCGGGACTGGCTGTAATGGCAACAGTGCGTCTACAGTTCTACAAGGATGAGACACAACGCCGCACAGCGTTCCTACCTGCCCGGCAGCAGGAAAGCAGCGAGGTGAGTCACAGCCCTTCCTTCATACCCAGCACAAAAGCAAAGCAGGAACTGCGCTCGGCGGCGAAGGGCGGCCCCCAGATGCTCCGGGCTCCTATGCATGAGTCACTGAAAGTGACTTGCTTCCCTGTGAGTACCAGTGCAGAAAACCTGGACAGCAAAGAAGCAGAGCCTGAGGCCTGTGCCTCAGTTTCCTCATCTGCGGATGAGAAGGATGGTAAGACACACTTCCAAAGGCTGTCATGCTGTCTGACTGATGGCTGTGCGCTTCTGGAAAGGCCCGTGGTGACCTTGGCTGTCCATGTGATGCCCTCACCAGGCACACGCCATCATGGTTGGCCATGAGTCCCCTGGCTATGGAGGTGACCCCATGACCTCTGGGCTCTGACACAGAAACCCGAGTGTCAACCTGGTCTGTTCTGAGTGCTCTCTCCTCTGGCCTGGGGCACCCTGCACCTTCCCTCCCTCAGTCCCAGGCACAGGCCCAAAGAGGAACAGCCCTGCTGAGTAGGAAGAAGCAGGCGCCAGGGCTGAAGGCCAGGCCTGGCTCCCGATATAACCTCCCTCCACTATAACCTACTGCTAACCTCCCAAATGGCTTGAGATGGGTGAAGACTGAAACAATGGCACCGCTGGCCGCACTGCAAGCCTGTTTCTGAGGTAAAACCAGCTAGGAGGAACATAAAACACAGCAGCCCCAGTTATGGGACAAGAATCTGATTCATGGGTCAGCTAGACGACTCGGAGAACAAGGCCTGCTACCAAGCCTGGCAGCCTGAGTTCAATCCCTGGAACCCACACAGGGAATGAGAACTGACTCCCACAATCCTCTGGCCACACATGTGCTCATACACATACACACAAGACATAAGATGTGACTTTTAAAAATCTTCTTCATGTGGTAAGCGCCCTGCCCACCACGCAAGCGAGAGGCCGGACGGGAGCCGGTGGCCCTGGGACAGGGATGCTCTGCGCTTGCGGAGACCAGCTTAGGCGTGAGCAGACCCCAGCGTCTCTGTCCTTCCACCCGCAGAGCCTAACAGCTGTCAGGCCAGGAGCCCCACGGAGGGCAAGGGCAGAGACCCCTAACTTACAACTTTAGGAAACCCTAGGGATCCCCGAGATTCTGGGCTGCAGTTTCTCATTGTATCCACAAGAGATCCCACTGTCCCTTCCTTCTTGCTGTTTTCGTGGCCAGGTAAGTATCATCTAACGCTGGTTTCCAAAGGGAAGCGTTAAAAATAAACGGGTAGAATCGCCAGGCGATGCCCGAGCTACGTTAATGAGATGAGCAGGGAGGCCACGGTGTTTCCTTTGAGCGAGTCAGGAGGGTGAGATGACACATTTGGTGATAGAGGACAAGCTCCTCGTGGCTGCTTTAGGGTAGGGGCTGGATGTGGAGCTGTTTTGTTTCACTGCGTTCGTGTGTGTGTGTGTGTGTGTGTGTGTGTGTGTGTGTGTGTGTGTGTG